ATATTAAAATTATTAAAAAATATATCGTATTTTTTAAAGTTTTATTATCTCTAGTGCTACTACGAAACTATGGTAATTAAATTTGTTTTGTTTATTGACATCTCCGCTGTGCAAAATCACAGTTGGCGCGAGTCTTCAACAATAATTTCTGGCTGCCTGTCAACACGRACAGAAAAAAATGTCACATATAGTTGTCACATAAAAATTGCTCGTGTAGACCGGTCTTAGAAATCGAAGGCACTTCCATTCGGCCACGCGTATAATTGTGGTTAGAATTGTCTTTGAAGTGCAGGTGCTCGCTCCTGGTTGTCAAGAATCAAAGTTAAAAATGATTAGTTTTAGTGAATAAAAAACTGTATTCATAAATCATTCACATTAAAATTGTATTTGTAAAGTAAATCATAATTTGAGTTGTCTTACCGTTCAGTCACAAAGGTTGAAGCAAGCAAAGAAGACGATCCTCCAAATGCGTCGTTTTGAAAATGACTGTACGAAGGTGCTGGCCCGCGCTTATCGAGAACCCAAGTTYATCTTGATATTTCATTTTAGAGGATGTTAAAATACTTATATCCCTCCTTTTACGCACAGAACACAAAATACTTGGTTGAGGAAAACTAGTTTCGACTTTACTAAACCTTTTCAATTCACAACAGTTGTAGATCGAGGAATTGAAAAGCTCAAGTAAAGACGAAACTAGTTTTCCTCAACCAAATCTTGTGTGTTCTGTGCGTCAAAGGAGGGATAACAGTTGCTTGACATCCTCTAAAATCAAGTTAATATTCTTGCACTCCTTATACATCAACATTCAAAGACTATCTGAATTCAATTTGAAAGTGTTTCTTGCATAATAAAGGCATGTGTTACAGGCATCTGTAACAGCACATCTGTTGCTTCATTGTAGATACAAATCCAAAATTTCATTGCGGACTTACTTGGACAGTTTCTTTGTTATCTAGGTTTGAACATAAATGTACCAAAAACACAAATTTCTCTCTCCGACAGATTAAGATATTTTTTAAAAGAAATTTTCTCTTTAGCCTTAATTGTTAAAGCGGATACTACTTGACTGTTTCATGGTGCTAACATGTGATATTGCTTTTTAAACAAAATTGTTTTTGACACACTAAAACCACACTAAACTTTCAATGAAACATCTTTTGTCTATTGACCGTATCAATTGTAATCGTTGATACGGTTAAACCACAAATTCTTTGATGATCCAATTTAAGTAAATATCTATTTGGCAGTTTATATTGTTTGATTTAATTGGACTAGCGACATCGATTGTTATTATTGGTTTTTGACACTTGCGGTGATTTTTTGCGTCTTTCGCTGCCAGATGTAGCGCATTTACCCAAAGAT